GAAACAGAAGGTATTACTAAAGACAAGGGTCGGTTGATGGTTAACATCATCCTGTAATCAAACATCAGTACACACACTGTGGATGGCAGTGGGGTTAGATGTTTTAGGTAAGGTATGCTATTATTATAGTTGTCAGTGTTATAAAAAGTATTAAAATTCAGTTTTACTGAACAAGGCTATAATTATAATAATGCTGTATTAATCATTACTTTGGTATCAAATAACACAAATGTAAACCGGGTTTGGGATATTTTTGTGTCTCAAAAGTCAAGGAAAGCCTCTCAAATGGCTCACACTAGACAAAGTTTTACATTTTCATGTTAATATTTAATTATAAAGAACATTTGGGATGACACTTTCCCCTGACTCTACTAACTAAAGCTGGGTATAATTGTAAAGGTGCTACTACTTTTAATCAGAAACGAAAAGAGACCGAACTTCTCAAATGTTTTCTAAACACAAGCAGTCATACAACAACTTTGTTTAAATACAATACAATGTAAAAGTGCTTAATTTTTTTATTTAAACCAGGAATTCAAAGAATAAGCGAACAAGATTACAAATCTGATCAGGCATTTAATGCCAAAATGGACCTTTACAGACAGCTTTCTATACGCTATGAACTCATTTAGGTTTGTACCAAAAAAAGTATTGAATATGTATTATTCATCCAAGCTATGCCCGCCTTGTGGTTATAATGTCGTCTTACTTTAAGTGTGGCCTGTGCACTGGGGCTGCTGTCCTGACTGCACAGCATCAGTAGGGACTCAACTCCCAAAACGGTGTCTTGCTCCAACTGTACTATATCTGAGGAGGAGAAACACACACAGCAACTCTTAGCCTTGGCACACCGGAGCAAACATCAGTGGGGTGAATGTGAGCTCAATGAACTGATGAGCAACTGGCATTAAAAGTGTCCCTAAAACAGGCCATCACTTGCTGTAACTAACCTTTTTCTGGACAGGAAATGGCAATGTTGGAGAGCACTATGACCCCGTGAGCAGCCACTGCCAGGTTGCTGTGGTAACAGCATTCTTGTGCCAGTTTAACCAGGTCAGTGAGGCGGGGGGGAACCGAAGAGCCACCTAACAAGAATGTTTGAGAGGAATACAGATCAGTCCAGAGTCTTATCACTACACAAGTTACAGCAATGGAAACCTGAGATTTAAAGGCTGGTGATGATCAAATTCTTACTTCATACTTTCATACTTAAATAAAATAAAACATTTCACACTATGGTGGAGAACGATTTGAAAGTGAACACAACCTGTCATATTATTAAAGTACTGCTTGATGGCAATGGTTCCAGAGAGCGTGGAGAGGACAGCCAACATCCCCAGCTTCAAACTGTTGTATGGGCTGCTCAAAGCGCACTCACACAGAGTCTGCAGAGACAAAACCCCATTACATTACCTACAGGTTTTAAACCAGAATGAACACAATCCTACAGTGCATCAGCATCTGAAACTCTACCTGAGTGTTCTCTCTGATCCAAAGGTGAGGAGCCTTTTTAGCCAGGAGCTTTAAGTCACTAATTGCGAGTCTCTTCACAGCTTTTCTCGGGTCATCTTTGAGGTACTGAAGGAGGAGCTGTAACTGTACAGAGAGAGAAACAAATAAAAAAGGTACAAGAAGGCAAATCTTAATAACAGCAACACAGCTACGTCCTCAACAGCCGAACGTCAAAGATAAACATTTCTAGGTCTCCTATCAAGATTTAAAAAAAAGACTACAGTAGGTATTTACACTGCCTCACACATACGGATACAAAGAAGTAGGCAGTCTCTGGCCTCTCATAAATCTGCAGCTCTGTGCACATTTTGCACTGAGCATGAAATTACTCACTCTGCTCCGACTGGACAGTTTTCTGACGTAGCTACATACCAGGAAGTTGTTAATTTCCTGTTGCACAGTTTGTTTCCAGAGTACAGAATTGCCTTGGTCTTTTTTTTTTTTTTTTATCTTTGTAGTAACTGTTGTTGAAACTGTTTTAATACAACAGTTACATGGCATTGTGGTCCAGAAGTGAACCCCTACTCCACTAGTGGAGCGGAATAGTAAATAACTCTGTGCCTTAATGTGCAGTTTTAAAACGAGTAGAGTAACTAACCAACACCAATGAGGTGCAGCTCTGTTACGGTACCAACCTGCTTTGGGATGTCGATGAGGGACGAGGCAGCCAGCTGGGTGAAGGTGTGCAGGGTGACGATGACCATGGGGGTGGAGGGGTAAGAGTTGACCAGGTGCTGTAGAAGCTCTCGGCTGCTGGAGGCCAAGCTGGCTTCGTGATGCATGTGCTGCAGCATCGGGATCAACTTCAGCTTCAGCTCCACTGGAGTGTCCAAACCTTCAGATATACAGTATGTTGAAGAGGAATGCAAACTCAAAGTGAAGATACCAGCACACACCCGCTGAACAGAAAGCTTTGCCTGGACATTGACGAGCAGAGAGATGTCAATTATTTGTGGATTCTGTAAAATGAGTATTCACAGTATATCTCTTGGCACTGGCTCCAAATATCAGATTTAAGTTCCAGAGTTTAATTTGGATTATCAAATGGACTGTACAATATTTTACAACAATGTTTACATGGACCACATTTTACTGCTTTAATATGTTGTCTCAACTATGATCTCTATGGATGCATTCACTGTTAATCAGCTGTTTTAGGATTTGATTTGTTTTATTTACATTTTGTTCCGTTGCCAAATATTCAAAGCTGGAAAAAAATGTACACGGGAAAGTGATCTGTGATCTTTTTTAGTACAGAAGATAGAAGATTTTACCTTGAATCATCTCACTGACTTTGTTACAAATCCCAGCTGCAAAGTCTCTGAAAATTAAAAAAAACACGTAAATATACCAGATTTATGTTATCCAAAACATCATCACACACACACACACATATATATGCAGTACAACTCAGGTGAAACAGCAGTTGTCCTTACTTTGACTGTGCAGAGAAGCTTGCGGCAGCAAATATAGCGGCCTCCACTTCTACATTGTCATGAGAGTCCAGACTTTGGCGAATACTATGGTGAGCGTTCTTCCTCTCTGGGATGATGGAGGCCAAACTACCAAGCATCCTGAACAGAAGGAACAACAGGGACATAGTTTAACTTTAAGCATCAGATAGTTGGAGAGAGTTGGAAGCTATTATCACTCTGTACAACCTCGCCGTATGTTCATCTCTTCAGCCAAACAATGTACAACTTCAGTGCATTTCACATCATTACCTCAGAGTGATGGCTCTGGCCACAGGGTCGTTGCTGTGGATGACTGAAAACACCCTTTTGACAAATTCGTCCACATTGAGGATCTTTTCCAGGTGTTTCTCACTCTGTTGCGTTACTTTCAGCACACAAAGGCGCAGAAAGTTGTTCCTGAAATCAAAGAGAGAAGCTTTTATAAACAGAGAGAGAGTGAAACCAGTTTCTGTAATGATTATTTACTGTCAATGAACTTAACTGTCACTCTATAAAATGATTAAAATAGGGCTTATCGCAAGTTACTCGAGTACAGTGTCTTCAAATTGCAACAGCAAAAAAACAAAACACACAAGTATTCCAGTAATAATTACATGAAATTCACAAAAGCAGGCAGCTACAACCGGCAAACTGTAGGTATGTTTATGTATGTGTGTTTTAAATGCAC